AGTTTCATATAACGATGACAGCAAATGACGAGTCGAAAGCCCTCTGGAAATTAGCCGACTGAAAGACGAGTCGCCCAAAACACTTGATTCGCACCTTTAAACGTTGATGCAGAGCACCGTGGTAAAGTCAACTCCAAACTGACCAATTGGTCCAATCCTGAGTACCCATTACAACTTTTCATCATGCAAAATTTAAAAATAACATTTTAGATTGTTAACTCTTATCCAGTGGTGTAGTCCAGGGTATGCGCGAGTATATGGCAAACAATTTACATGTATTTTTCAGTCAGCATTGCATATAGCCAATTCGAAATCCCCTCTGCTGTGTACTATTTAGTAATATCTGTGAGTCAGATTGCCCATATTTTTCCCCTCACGGATGGTGAAGCCATGACCCACCTCTGCCTCTAATTGGCTGGTACTCGCTGCCTTCGCTGATTAGATTCGTTAACTTTAGGAATGAGGACTGATGAGTTAATCAGAGACAGACGAAGGGCGGCTTATGCCGAGGAAAATATTGCTAACACGTCAGGTGCCAGTGCCACCCCAGGTTGATTGACGGGTCACTCGACATCTTGAAAGATGTGCGATTATTGGAAATGCGAGAAAAGCAGAATGGATGTCTTTCAATTGAGTGGCACAGATCCAGAGAACAAAATGAATTATTGTTTTAAAATACTGGCAATATGACGGCACATTTAGAGGAGGAGAGATTTTGTGGCAAATAGTTCAACTGTGCATGTCAGTTAACATTATGAAATGGCATCCTAACATTTGCTAAGAGATACCTAGATATTAGGATAAGTAGGGAACTTGTATAATTGTTAGTTTGCTGTAAATTTAGTGTTGAATTAATCCAAGTTTGCAAAGGATTTCATGCCAGACCGTAATGTTAGGTGAAACTTTATCTCAATGTTTATGATTTTAAGGTCTAAATAATAACATTATCCATTAGCCAAGTTACTTCATCATCTAGTTTAATTTTAAAGTAGGTCGGAAATCAACTACCAAGTTGATTTCAAAGTAATTTGAAACCCAATAATGGGGAGAAATAATTTAAGATTCGGACTATAACAATAAAGAAGTCTAACCAGACAGTTCATTTTGAATAGGGACAGGTAGCAATGAAAAAGAAGGGAGATATTGCTGACTTTTTTGTAAAGAGGCACAAATCAGGACCAGACAGGGCCTAGACAGAGGTGTTGATGTGTTCTATATATTTTTTATATTTTCACTGTTCATTGTTAACTAAATATTGTTTAAGAACATGTGATTTATATGTTTGTCTCGTGATAAATACATTTTAGATTCATTCAGGCTGCTTGTGTTCCCAAGAATAATTACCGACTGCTTCTAATTAAGTCGTGATAATTTTATTATTGTGAGCAAGTAGAAATGATGGATTTTTCTTGCATGTTTAGAAAAAAAAAGAAGAGGAAAAAAAGAGCATATCCACTTCTGTAGGGACCACCACACTGCTGCTCTCATCGTAGTGAAAACTTCTAACCCTTAACAGCATCTGTAGGGCTCTATTTTCAGAGACAGCACACATACACTCGGGATAAAAATTGGCACATCTTGATTTTCACACGAGGGCAAGTTTTGTTTACCGTGTTTCGGAATATCGCACACCGTGCTGCGCCATGTTGAGTGGTCCGGTGACCGGAGTGCGTTTTCTTTTACATACCCTGCCAATTTGGTGACTGAAAGTAGACTCAACTCTAGACAAGCAAGGAGCAGGTCTAGGTTGTGGCGCAGCTGGTGGAAAGCGAATTTGGTGAATTTGATCGTGGGGCAGGCAGACTTCACAATGGTGTTCTGTGATCGCCCTGGCCAACTTAACATACTCCACAAGTGGAGATCTTCTTGCAGTTCCTTATAATCATACTTTGCATGCATCAATCTCCCGCATGAACTTTAGCGAGTCAATTTCTGCTTCCGCTATGTCACAGACTGTGTGCCCCCAGCCTGCGCTGAATTTAAAGGGAAGGAGGAGAGCTGCTCCATTGGAAACATCCTGACGATGTTCACTCCCACTACGGCGCAATCAGCCCTTTCTAACTGCGCCCATCTACGAAAATACCAAAGGAAAGAAAACTCCAACCATGCGCACAGTTGGATTGCGCTTTGCAGACTAAATGCAGAGTCAATTTTGTATAACTTTACATTTATCCCAAGGCCGATTAAAAATTGACAGGGTACGTTCTGCATTTGAAAGTGACAAGCTTCCCCTCTTGTTTATCTGTGCCTCCACAGAAACCAGGGTACCTTCGGCCAGAGAGCCTTATCTCTGCCAGTCCTGGTTACAGTGCACTGACTATTGAGGAGGTGTCATGTGGAAATTTGGAGCCATCTCTGATTAGAGAATATGTTTGAATAGAAGCCAAAAATTATCCACACTTTCAGCAAATGAAGCGGCCTCACGCCTTTGTTTCCCATTAATCATCGAAGGCTGAGCACTATGGTCACTACTATTGGCTGCACAGGGAGAGGAAGTTGTTGAAGCCCAGATATCCTGCCTTCATTGCGGTTAAGAATTCCAGTTGTTATAACAGTGTTAGAAAGTTACTCCGACCGTGTGATGACTCAGACTACTATAGTGTGTTTCTTTTCATTAGTCTCTCTTAAATTCATGCAGAAACACCTTTCAGGAAAATGTATTTTCGGAATTAGATTTTGAGACAAGACGGTTGGATTCAATTATATTTACAAATGATACAGGTTATAGGACTGGAAGACTGAAATATGACAGACTAACAGAGCCTGTCTTTTTTAACTTGCATGGCTTTTGAAAGAAAAAAAAAAGCAACAACAACTGTGCTGCATTAACTAAGAAGGTCTGACAGGACCAAAGTGCTTCCGGTAGCCAGTGTACCATTTATGGCTCCAGTTTGAAGCATATTTTCTTAGATGACGTCAGTGGCTTTGAGCCAGCTTTTCCTTTTTCGTGGCACTCTCGGCTGGCCTCAGTGGGCTTTGCTCAAACTGCTGAGCAGCCGCGCAGACACACTCTAAAATTCCCTTTCTAGACCAGGGTTTACCTCAGGGCACAAACAGTCTGGGAGCCTCCGGGAGTGTCCTCTTTTTAAAATTTGCCTTAACCGTCGAAAGCAGACGTATGATCCTATAAGCCCGCATATTCTATAGTTCAACATGTTATGATTTATGAACTCAAGAAAATTGACCAAACGTTTACAGTTACAAAATAAAACTATATTAATATCAGACTCAAGAGTTGTGTTTCATGATTTCTTAAAAAAAAAAAAAAAAAGAACAGATTAAGTTCCAATAATTTAAATACATATGAGAATTATCCTTGTAATTGCAAATAAAATGCAGAGACAGGAAAAACTGGTCTACGGCATTAAATAGAGGAGACTACAAATGCAAAACAATTAATTAAACAAAATGGACACATTCAATCATTTAAACAGTAGCTCCTTGTCTGTACTCTTATAACTTGAATTTTTGTCATGTCTGTTATGGTGTGCAAACTGAATCGATTAAAAAGAGAAGTCTATTGCCAAGTTACTATTAATTGACGAAATAAACATTTACTTACAACATGGCACTCCCGTAAAATGTCGATGGTGAGAATAAGAATAGCCCAAGCCCAAATATTTTTTTTCTCGAACAGCAAAATGACACAACCTTAAATTAGAATATGTAAAATAACTGATACATATTACAAACTAACGTCTCTGCAAAAAGTCCAAGCTTTTTTTTGTACTTATGACCATAAAAAGCCCGTCATCAAGCTTAAACGAACACAGACTGTTCCATGTCAAAAGCGATGAAAGGCAAACAGATTTTGGGAGGACCTCATTACAAATATGCCCTATTCTTATGAAAATGTTCAACAGGCTTTTGTCCAACAGGTTGCCTGATTGCATCAAGTGAAAACAAAGCAGCCAATTCTAGCGAGAAGATTTATTATGTGAAATGTTTGGGGTTATGCCGAGTTCAGAATTACTCCTTGAAATAATAAGCTTTTTATGCCAATTTGTTGTGTGTTTTATATTTCGTTCCTCCTCTACAGAGCTGAGAATTAGGCAGTGTTCTGAGAGAATAAGACAGAAAAAAAATTAAATCTGTGTTAAAACACAGATGTTTGAGAGTACATTTTGCTCCCTTCAGCACTTTTCCATGTCCTATGGAAAAATAATCTTTCTAATTAGCTTATTTAACTTTGACCACACCATTGACATCCAATATGGGAAACATAAATTGCTGTAGGGGGGAAAAACCCATACGGTTGATTTTAGGCAGCATATCTTAGTGGTGCAAATGGTGACCTTGTGACCTTACAGCACTGCTTTGGTTCAAACTAAACCAGAGCTGTCAAATCTTGAAACACCAAAAAGGTATGGTATAAACAAATAGAATTTTGACAAGCTGCTGTATCAAATCAACGCTTCTTACATTGTTTTCATGAATCAATATTTTTTTAATACCTTGGAAAAATCACATGCAAATATGGTGTTAACGACGTGCTACTGGCAGTCTACTTGTAAGAGCGCTCACTTTCAGCTGAGCAGGCAATTCCCAAACTAAAGGAAACCCTCTCAAAGAAAACAAGCAGGTGGGAAAAGGCAAAGAAAATGCGCCGCGAACGATATTTGACAAACATTCGACGTCCATTTCCTGCGAGTTAGTACCAGACGTATAGCGGAGTAATCCACTTTTCGAACGAGTAACACGTCAATTTAAGCTAATATTCCTCCGACAATGTACCAGCAACGAAACATTTAGCCCCGGGATAGTTTTCTGTTCCAGTCCCTATACGCTCTCTATTTAAGTTTTTTTTTTAACCTTCAAGGCAAACCACCGCCCTTCAAATATAGATACCTTAATTATTTTTGGCATTGTTCGTATCACGAGCGAACGTAAAGTAGGGAGCGTGAAACAATGACGGACTTTTGACTTATTCTCCCCGGTTCCCTCCCCTGCCATGTAAAAGTGAGGCGTAAGGAAAAAGTACGAGCCAAAAATATACTCACACAGAACTTCGACGGCGATTTGAAAAAACAACGTCCAAGGTGGCGAAGCAACAAGTCTCCCCGGTGGTTTTCGTCGAGGTGGTCCGAAAAGCCTCCGGTGAAATCTCCCAAGTGTAGACCAAATCAACTAGAGATAGAAAAAGAGCGACGCGAACAGTCGTCATGTTGTCCAAAACTGTTTTCCGAGGTAGATGTTTTTTTTTGTTTGTTTGTTTTTATTTTTTGTTTTTAGTTTAAGCTTAAATCCCTGGTGGGTGTTTCTGGGGATCTGACACGGAGCACGCGGCATGTGGCGCTTTTAAAAGGGGCGTAGGAGCAGCCTTCTTCTCCAAAAATGTGAAAAATGTAAAAGATTTCGCCGCTCGAGCGACGGGAGCGAGCGTTCAAAGTGCCTGTTGCAACAGCGAGTCGGCCATCTAACCCACGACACCCACCGTTTCCACGCGCCGTGGGAGAAATAACAAACATAAATAGCCCAGCGTTTTCACAAACTATCCCGGATGAGAGAATTCATTAACTAAACCCAGCAAATAGAAGTCCACGTTCACTTTGAATGCCTGCAACTAGCAATGGAACTTACCTCGTTATTGATATCTCATATTTTAAAAAATGTCCATTTTGAGCTCATGTGGTGTTACTGGGTATTTACAATATTAATGTCAAGTTATTCTGGTGTTTCTGGGTCGGCAAGGAAGGTGAATCGCTTCGCTCACTGACAGAGATGCGAAGAATGCTCGGAATGAGAAGAGGAATGAAATGAACGCAAAGAGCGAGTTTGCGTCGGGGGCGGAGCGAAAGGTGGCGTCATCCCGGAGCCCTGCAGCCTCGCTCCGCGGAGCAGGGACAGGGAGGGCGCGTTGACATCCCGGGAACTGTGGCCTTCAGGGACGCGCGGAAAGTTCGACTTCCCACTTTCGTCGCGGTCAAATCATTTAGGTTTTGTCCTTACAATGTAGGCGAACCTGGAGTATGGCACCCTGTGCGAGCCCATACCCCATACTGTGTGTATCCTTTAATACTTACGTACCTGTGGTCGGAAACCAAAGAGCATATTTTCTGTGGCTGAAATGCAGGGGGAAGTGAGTGAATGGGGTGTGCGGTCATTGCCAACAGCCTCTCAAAATATACACACTGCCTTTATTTTTGCCCGTTTCCTTCCTGTCTTTGTTGCATCCACTTCTTCCTTGACAATCACACCATGTTTTTGTGGTTCATTATAAAAGTCATTAATGTAAACGTAATGCAAGATAGTATATTATATATGCAGCCTCAAAACCAGATACAGTGTCGCAGTTGCAGAGCGTCAGTCGATCTGTGGTACTTAATCACTTAATGTGCGGGGAAGACGTGCCATCTGTAATTTTTTTTGCAGTGTGTGACTTCAGCTGCATTCGGTGGCGTATTTGTGCAGCAGGACTCAAGGTACCTTAGTGCAATAATTTTGGCTTTGTTTTCCATCTTGTTTGCTTCCTTGTATATATAGGGGAAGCTCACAAAAAAAAAAATATATATATATAGATATATATATATATCTATATATATATATATATATACTCTAATTGCCCCACGGGGATAAATAAAGTTTTCTGAATCTGAATCTGAATATATATATATATATTCGTCATTTATTTACACATTCAGTACAATCTAGCAGTGGTGCATGACTGAAATGATTTGTCAAAAAAAAAAGCATCCTCTATGGCCGCGTCTTCTTCTAATTTGATTTGCAAGAGACCACGCATCCAAGAATAAAACAACCAATCCGAGACAGAAGGCATCACTGATGAGGTGTCAATCATTTCTTTTGCACTCGCGGACGCACTCATTGAGGGCACACCCTTGCAAACTCAGGCGGACTTGTTGCCTTGCTGAATCAATGGTGGAATATCCAGCTAAGGAAAATGAAAAAAACCCATTCCTTTCTTACAAACAACTCGGCAAAAAATAGCAAATAGAAGCAGCAAAGCAGCAATGAAGCTAAAAAAATAAAAGGAATTGGACAGATCCAAAACTGGGTTATAATAATTATGGATTTTTCATGATAGTTACCGTTGATGTTATGTGTTTTGACATTTATTCTTTGATTTCAATTTTTATAAGAGTTTTAAGAATTAGTTTCAGTTTGATTATTATGAGTTGTAGTATTACTTTTAGTTTTTGAAAAATATATGGAGCATTTGTCAAGTGCAAGATAAAAACAAAGGATCGCTAAGTATTGTATAATCAAATAACTACAATTCTCAAGCAACTGTTTAACTTTCCCGGACATACAACAATATCAAAATCAATACATTTAAAATGGATACCGAAAGTTCATTAATGACCTTAACTGACAATGACAAAAACGAAGGACATTTTTGATATGGTTATTAGAGGTGTACTGATCAGGGTGTTATTCTGCTCATTCAGATTAACCGAAGGTGCATATACCAATTCCGATACAATTCACATGGATTAGCTGCACATTTTTCAATTTCGGAGCTGGCCCGAATGAATATCTTAAGAATAAATAAATCTGTCAATTTTTGGAGGGGGGATTAACTCTGTCATGCACCCTGTAACCTGATAACATGATAAGGTGTCCACTATAGTAACCACTGTCCCTGAAAGTGTTAATCGATTAATCCGATTTTTTGGAAAAACATTCTATCCAATTTTCATCCCTTTATTATATACAAAAGCAAGACATTATTTCAAATTGACAGTGCAGAAAATGCACAAACATTAGTCACTGGTTTGGTGTGTAATGTGCAGTGTGAAGGAAAAGTGGGGGTGGGGCTCCAACGCACACAGGCTGGCCTCTAGTGCACAACGGGCTGCAAAGTATGAGCTGCGGGTGGTCGTTTTTTGTAATGGGCAATGAAAGATATTGATTAGCATATGCTGATCGTACACTTATCCAGGGAAATCAGCTGCTCATGATCAGTGGCCGATCGATCGGGGCACCACCTCTAGTTTTAGTTAGTTTTGTGAACATAAGGTGCAGTTTCAAATTGTTTCCATTTTTTTTCAGAAGCATTTTTGTTTTTATTTCATGTCGTTAACACAAATGTTTTAAAAAAAATTTATTTGGAGTTATTTCGTTAGTTTTCGTTAACAATGATATTCTCGATCCCAAGACAAGCCAAGGGTGAACATTGCTGTCGTCGTCATTTTCTCAACCACTTGTCCGTGTTGCTGCTTACAAGCAGCAAAATTGCAAGATCAAAGTCGATAACATGATTTTCAACAAAACATCAACATTTCATATTCTAAATTTCTTTGCTTTAAATGAACAAAAAGCAATTCAGTAGATTCACTTGAGCGTGTCCATACAGCCAAATACACAACCATGGTCCTGTCTGAACAAGCCATCCATTAGAGAGCCCGTTGTTTTGACACGGCTCTCTCAAAAGAAAACCATCGAGGAAGATGAACGACTGGCGCTCTGAAGACATCCATCGACACCTTTTAACGCCTGTCTGTGCTCGTTTGGCCCAGGGAGTGGAGGGTAGGGTACAGAAATGCCCATCGTTCTTGTCTGTCACTACATTCTTTGTTTCGGTTTTATTCAAGCATCACTTTTTTTTTTAACTTCATCATTTGTTCAAGACATATTACATTCTCGTGTTGACTGCCTCGTGGTGTTTCTTACAGTCATCAAATGGAGCGATGAGATCCAACAAAAGAGCTTGAAGAAAAATTCTGCCATTTTATCAGCTTTGATTGACTCTGTCAGGTCAACGTTGACTTAAACATGTTTATCATCATGGTTGCAGTTTGCAGTAGTGCAGAATTGCACCCAAGTGCTGCCCAACACGTCATCTGATCTAACTCACAAGCATTAAAACATATTTTTCCCAGGCTTGAGGAAACAAGCCAATTAAGCCTTCAATTATTCAGACCCTTTTGAGTTGAGGTGTATATTTGTTGAATGCATATCATTTACAAGAACGTGTCAGGACAAAAAAAAAACTGTAAGAACTTGTGTTAAGAATGAATGCATCCAGTGACCCTTTTATTTGTTTTGGGGGAGGTTTTTGTGACCAAGAAAAATCTAAACATTTTCCACTAATAACGTGACCCTTAACATGTCTGACTCAATGAAATAGGATTTTTTTTTTTTTGGGTGAGGTTAAGCAAAAATAATAAAGATAATGCGCCTTCAGGCTTGTGCTAGAACACCAAAGAGTGTCAGGAAAAGCCTACTAGAACAAGTTATCCTTCTCCGGGGATAATCAGAGGTAACTTATATTGCGCCGGGTGTGTGCTGACTACCATTAAGCAGGGCAGTCACATCCCAGTTATATGAGGGTGTGTACACTTATGCAACCTCATTACTGCAGTTACTAATTTTTCCCCACCCCCTTACAAAGATTTTTTATTAATCATTGTACAATTTACAGGTTTAAAAAACGTTTTGGAATGATTTATTTTGGACTCGTTTTTTTACATCACAAACACAAGCCATTTGAATAGGGGTGTGTAGACTTTTTATATCTACCGCGTGTAAAGAAAACACTTTTACAGAGTTGTATGTCCCAATATGATGCGCTGACATAAGAATCATCACTAGATACTGTTGCTTTTTTAAGCACATCGCATCTCCACAGCACAGGAGCCCATTCTGAGCAAAAGATTTGTTTGGCAGTCGTGTGATTTCAACTTTTTAAGGGCCGGCCACAGTACAATCGAATTAGGGTAATCCGGTTCATTTGCCCCCCCCCCCCAGATATACGCTGCTGCTGCAACTGTCTGGTCTGGTTTAGTCTGGTCGCCAACCTTCTCTAATCAGATCGTCGTCGAAGGCCAAGCGCTGGCTCTCTGCTCTTTGACTGCTGAGCTGGCTGCACTCTTTTTGCTTTATTCACACACAATGCGAAGAAAATGTAAAAATCAAGGTCGGCTCACTGATTTGCAATAATATGACCGTAGGGTAATTTTCTGCAAGTTATAGCAAAATGGGAAATCATCCCATTTGATAAAAAGACGTCTTTATTCAAAGATGTTCTCAAAGGCATGCTGCAGGGGAGAAGAAAAGAGAAAAGTAAAAAAAAAAAAATTTTTTTTTTTTAATGAAGTCCTCACAACCGTCTCTTGAAATCGAATCTGCTTTTTTTCTCACCCATTTGGTTGTCAGTGTTTCAAACAGTTTGCACACTCGCAGGTTAATCTCTTTATCACCGCGGCAGCAAATGTTGCCTGCGCAACAGAAGATACTGCCAGAAGGATACAGACATTAAAGTCAGATTATTGCATAACCGATGTTTAAAATGTGATTATGACCAGATGTGCCCGCAGATTTTTGCAGAGGCAAGGGATTTTTTGCGATATCGCAGAGACACACGTTTTTAGAACAACCGGCTTTAGGTGCGATTATCAAACAGAATCAGAGAAAGCGATATTCTGCCATCTGGCAATCCAAAATTCGACTATAAACGCAGTTTGACGCAAAATAGCTCGAAAGTATTCCATGCCCGTC